GTTCAATGTTTAATTAGTTTTTGTGCCATGTTTCTGAAATACTTACTTTTAAAAAAGCCAGAAATACTGATTCTCGATAGCAGTAATTCTTAAAAGTTACTACCCTGCTTGCATAAAATGTAAACATTAAGTAGTATTACTTGTGGCTGAACGGTATGTTCTAGACTAGATGTTAGTTTTTCAAAAAGCAAGTCATGTTTCTCATCGCTCTTCACAAGGGCACTGCCCACTCCATCACCAATAAAAATAAGGCTACTAGAATCATGTTAATTACAAATCATAAACACAATGAAAAAGAGTCATTAGTTTGCCAGACCCTGAAATAGGTTCCCATTCAAGCACAGCTTTTGCTATCTGCCTTTTAAGTTGGACAAATGATAAATTCTCAATTTGGGTAACTGTTAACCTCTGGATCCTGGATTTGACTCTCGGACTGGGATAAACCCCTCCCATCCTACTCCCACCACCCGAGCCCTCCCAGATGACATGCTCATGGTTTCAGCCAGTCTCACTCAGCCTCTCTCCCCCTCCCCACGCAGGCCTCCAATGCCCCAGGCCGGCCCTCCTGCCCAGGTTCCTCAGCCCAGGTGTGTGCTGCCTGCAGTGGCAGGCATAGCGCATGACCTTCAATGACCTGCTTCCTAGGTGCTCATGTATACCCCACCCTGTCCCACTGGAGCCTAAGTGTCCTAGGAGCAGCTGCCTCAACCCTGGCACCCATGAGAACCCCCAAGACCCCAGGTAACAGGATTTGAGCTCCCAGGTGATACTAATACACTGTGAAATGAAACACACAGGTAAAAGTGCAGGCCTGCACCCCCGCACTCCGCCCCGCGCCCGCCTAGCCACAGGGTGGCACTCTGTGGACTTCGTGGTTCGCAGCATGCCGGAGTCGGTCAACACCCTGGTGCCTGAGTCCACCCTAGAGATTCCAATTTGCTTCATGGTCCTGGACAAGGATCGGGAAAGCTCCCAGGAGAGTTGAGACGGGAAGCCAGGGTTAAACCCTGATTCAGGGAATGATACGGAGGCATCCTTGATAGTAGGAGAGACCCCTTCCTGCTGAGTTCCCAGTCCCCACCATTGTCCCAGATGTTCTTGTAACCCCAGCACCTGCAGAGGGCCTGGCTGAGGGCAGATGTGTGTGCAACATGTGCTGACTCGGGGACGGGTGACTGGCATCGTGCACTGTGCTCCCCAAATCTCTACTCTTACAGAAGGCCCAGAGCCATGGTGCATGACTGCCTGGGGAGCTGATGGCATCACCAACAAGCTGGATGGCATCAGCAGCCACCAACACAGGGCATGGAGCTGCAAATGCACAGCGAGCACTTGCTCTGAAAATGAACCAACACTTGCTCCCTGCTCTAGTTGTGAGAGTCCTCTTACCCCACCCCTGTAGCCTTTGACCCCTCAACTCCCTTCCCTGTTGCTTCCTGTAGTTCTTCCTGTCCCAGCTCTAGTCCCCTCCCAAGAGCCTGCCAGGAACAGCCTCCCCTTACAACAGCACTGCCCCTCCAAGCCAGACACTGGGCAAGAACAGCCTGGTCCCGGAGTTGCCTGCCCACACGCCTGTCCACAAGAACCTCTGAATGCATGGTCTGATGGTGGGCAAGCGCCAGCCAGGACATACACAAAAAGAAAATGGGAGCACAGGAATAGGATCCTGAGAACGGGCTCCGTCTCCATGTGGCCTATTCCCGGGCTGGAGAGGTAAGTAGAGAAAAAGATGGCACACTCACGTCTGTTCTGCAGTGGCCCCAGGGGACAACTTGGTCTTCTTCCTCGCCTGTGCCATTTCCCAGCACCGGACACGGTGCCTAAAACACAAAGTGCTCAATAAATACTAATGATGAATAGGAAATAAGAATGAATAGAATGAATGGAATGAATGAATAGAATGATGAAAGAATGAACCAACCAATGGCTCTTTCAAGGCTTTTCTCTTCCAGAAACACAGGCTCACCACTCCCCACTTAAATCCTTTCCAGGATAAACCGCTAATGGGGCTTGCATAGGAGGCAGAAGGCCGCCTGTCACCTGTCCTCCTCTTGGGCCCCTCTACCCCAGCCTATGTTCCTGCTTGTCCCACCCCTACTGTGTGCCCCAGCCTACAGCCTCCCACTTCCCACTAGCAGAGAGAACACTAACATCCCTTTTAGAGCACAAGGATGCCACCTTCCAAGAAGACTTACCTGCATCCTCATGAACCTTTCTTAGCATCCTACACTTGCAGGACAAGCTTTGCTCCCTGACCTAACATTTATTTTCATCACCTGTCAATCCAAGCCCAGAGGTCAAGAACCACCATGTTCATCCCTGTGCCTTGTGACTGCAAGATCTACATTCTCCTCCTTCCCACCTGCCATGGCCTTGTGGATCCCAGGTGTGAAGTCCCCTCCTAGCAGAAGCTGACCCTCAGCACCAAACTGCCCCCACGCTCGTAGTACTTCTCCACCCTGGTTCATACTTGTGTCCTGTCCAACCTACAGTATGTAGTCGCCCCACCACCACCGGCCCCACAAGTCCGCAGCACCCGACTCTCCTAATGGCAGGCTAGTGTCTAATTCATCTCCATCTCCCAAGCAAAGGACCCTGCAAGGAATGATGGTTAAAGGACTGCATGTGTCTTTCTCTTTCACACGACAAAGCCTCTGAGAATGCTCAGGCTTTCTCTTATGAAAGGAAATACTTAGCCCTGAAGATCACTAAAACCTGCTGGAAACTGCTCAGGCAAACTCTGCCTCCCATTCTATCCAGCCACTCCTCTGCTCACTGAGACAGATGCACATCTGATTTGCTTCCTTTGGACAGGTTCATCAGAAACTCAAAGAATGTAACTATTCGTGGATCACCTTTACTGTGACCTGTAAGCTCCTCACGCCTTACACATGTTTGATCAATGTCTCATGTCTCCCTATGTATAAAAACTGCTGTGCCCTGACCACCTTGGGCACGTGTCAGCCAGGGACCCTCCTGGAGGCTGTGTCACCAGTGCACCCTCAACCTTGGCAAGACAAACTTTCCTTTTTTTTTTTTAAACACATTATATCTTTGAGTTCTAGGTACATGTGCATAACGTGCAGGTTTGTTACATATGTATACTTGTGCCATGTTGCTGTGCTGCACCCATCAACTCATCAGCACCCATCAACTCACATTATACTCAGGTATAACTCCCAATGCAATCCTCCTCCTCCTCCCCATGATAGGCCCCAGTGTGTGTGATGTTCCCTTCCTGAGTCCAAGTGATCTCATTGTTCAGTTCCCACCTATGAGTGAGAACATGCGGTGTTTGGTTTTCTGTTCTTGTGATAGTTTGCTAAGAATGATGGTTTCCAGCTGCATCCATGTCCCTACAAAGGACACAAACTCATCCTTTTTATGGCTGCATAGTATTCCATGGTGTATATGTGTCACATTTTCTTAATCCAGTCTGTCACTGATGGACATTTGGGTTGATTCCAAGTCTTTGCTATTGTGAATAGTGCCACAATAAACATACGTGTGCATGTGTCTTTATAGCAGCATGATTTATAATCCTTTGGGTATATACCCAGTAATGGGATGGCTGGGTCATATGGTACATCTAGTTCTAGATCCTTGAGGAATCGCCATACTGTTTTCCATAATGGTTGAACTAGTTTACAATCCCACCAACAGTGTAAAAGTGTTCCTATTTCCGTCACAGATTCCCTGGGTTTACACTCTCACTTGCCTCGTCAGGATTCCTGGCTCAGACTCCGCCTACACCCGCCTGCCCTCCTGTCCACAACCAGCAAAGTGGGGCTGTCTGTCACCTCCCCCTCTGCTCCTCTGTCCACTGAAACCAGAGTGTCCATTTCCACATCAGCCCCTACGCTACACACATTAGGGAAGTGGAACCATAACCCGCGGAGGCTGAGAACTAGAAGAGAAAGAACACTATAAAATAACTCACGTGAGACTTTCCACCTAGACACGGCACATCCTTAACAAACAGAAAATCATCAAAACTTCCTACAAACTAACCTGAGAAGTTTGCAGCCTATCTTAGGGGACATTTAGAAAACTGGATATAAACTGGAAAACTAGGTTAAAATACAAAAGCACAAAACAAAAATGTAAGCAATCGCAGCAAGTCTAATTTTAATTGCAAGGAATATTTAATCAATAAATATTCACTGTTCAGAGCTGCATCTGCATTTAGAATTACGAGGTACTAAGCTGCAAATTTATTAAGACTCATTAGCCAGGAAGAGTCTTTTAAATTCTAAAAGTCAGACCCAATTTAGAGTAAACACTTAGAGCACACTATTGACTTAGCTCCAAAAATAATGAAAAAGGAAAAGAGAAGAAAACTGTCTATAACCAGTTCTGAAATGGTCGGCAGGGCCAAACTCACTTGCAATGGTAAGCCCGAGCTAAGAGTACGAAGGTGTGCTGATGGTCACCACCGCCTACCCCAACCTTTCCCAAAGCGCTTCCAGACAGGCAGTTCAGCACTAGAGCTGAGGCAGCCGGAACTCCACACTTCACCCAAGAAACACAAATCACTTCTCTCATCCATTTTCTTCTTTTCCTAACAACACTACTAATACTTACCAAAAAAAAAAACAAAAAACTTGGTCAAACATATGTCCTTGTTTTCAGCATATCTCAAACAAATTGAAAACATATTTTCCTGTTGCAACTCCTCAAGAGTTGAAATAACCATCTATGCTGAAACCTTTCTATATCACAGGCTGGAACATACAAAGATTTTCTAATAATAAAATCCGAGGAAAAAATACCGTTGTCGTAATTATGATCTATCCTTGTTTTCTGCCAGTCCTGTCAAACCAAGCTTAAAATTAAGCAAAGAATGGAAAATGTCAGTTTAGCCATAGCAAAGGCCTTTATCACTGCAACAAAGCCAGGGCAAACCCGTGGCCAGTGGCTGTCAGGCCCTACTCAGGCCAGATGCCTGCCGTTTCTGTGCACAGGAAAGAGGCGCTGATGGGCGGCGCGGTGGGACTTACTGAGAGGAGCTTCCATGTCATTGGACGCACTGGCTTAGGGATTCCGGACCAGCTCAACTTCCGTAATTCCTCTGTTGATGAAAAAAGAGACAAGGAGAAATAAGATTTACAAAAGTTAGCAAACCTCCCCAGTGCTTTAACACATTCCACCTGTTTTATTAGGAGGCAATGAGCCCCGTCAACAAATTAAACTAAATGATCAACATTTCAGATACCAATTGATTTCAGTATCTCAGAGAAGGTAAGTGACCATTCTACTCAAACCAAGCTACAGGTCACCTGTTTACAACAGAATGGTCAGTACATGTCTGCAAAGAGCATCCCCAGTGTCCCTGCAGCTACCTGCGGACAGAGTGAGGCCCTGGCCACCCCACTCCTTCCAACCAGAGAAATCCAGAGAACACCAGCCTCCTTCCTCCCTCCTCCTCTCTCTCTCTCCCTCCCACCTCCTTCTCTCTCTCTCTCTCTCTCCCTCTCCCTCCCACCTCCTTCTCTCTCTCTCCCTCCTGCTCTCTCTCTCTCCTCCCACACTCCCTTCTCTCTCTCTCCCTTCCCACCTCCTTCTCTCTCTCTCTCCTCCCACCTCCCTCCTCTCTCTCTCCCTTCACCTCCTTCTCTCTCTCTCTCCTTCCCTCCTTCTCTCTCTCTCTCTCTCCCTCCTCAGCCTCTCTCTCTCTCTCTCCCTCCACCTCTTTCTCTCTCTCTCTCCTCCCACCTCCTCCTCTCTCTCCCTCCCACCTCCTCCTCTCTCTCCCTCCCACCTCCTCTCTCTCTCCCTCCCACCTCCTTCTCTCTCTCCCTCCCACCTCCTCTCTCTCTCCCTCCCACCTCCTTCTCTCTCTCCCTCCCACCCCTCCTCTCTCTCTCCCCTCCCACCTCCCTTCTCTCTCTCCCTCCCACCTCCTCCTCTCTCTCTCTCCCTCCCCCCTCCTCCTCTCTCTCCCTCCCACCTCCTTCTCTCTCTCTCCCTCCCTCCTCCTCTCTCTCTCCCTCCCACCTCCTTCTCTCTCTCCCTCCCACCTCCTTCACTCTCTCTCCCTCCCACCTCCTTCACTCTCTCTCCCTCCCCACCTCCTTCCTCCTCTCTCTCCACCTCCTTCCTCTCTCTCCCTCCCACCTCCTCCTCTCTCTCTCTCCTCCCACCCTCCCTTCTCTCTCTCTCCCCTCCCCTCTTTCTCTCTCTCTCTCCCTCCCACACCTCTTTCTCTCTCTCTCTCCCTCCCACCTTCTCCTCTCTCTCTCCTCCCCTCCTTCTCTCTCTCTCCTCCCACCTCCTTCTCTCTCTCCCTCCCACCTCCTCCTCTCTCTCTCTCCCTCCCACCTCCTCCTCTCTCTCTCCCCCTCCCCCCTCCTCCTCTCTCTCTCTCCCTCCCACCTCCTCCTCTCTCTCTCCCTCCCACCTCCTCCTCTCTCTCCCTCCCTCCCACCTCCTCTCTCTCTCCCTCCCACCTCCTCTCTCTCTCTCTCTCCCCCTCCCACCCACCTCCTTCTCTCTCTCTCTCCCTCCCACCTCCCTCTCTCCTGAAGGCTTTTACCCCAACCTGATCATGTTAATTGGTTTCCCTTTCTTCCATCCATCTCACTTTCCATTTACTATTTGTATACCTATATGATGCGTTTTTTCTCATACTGAGTTTGAAGAAATCATTTCATGGAGATAAGTTTGATATTTTATACACCATTAATTAAGGATGTGGCCATATTCTACACAGACAAAGTCTTCCAAAGGAGCAATTAATACAAGTCAATGAGGCTTTAAATACCTACAAGTAGAAAAAATCACGAGAGAGAGGGGCTGGCAGCCAGAAGGCAGGGAGGGGCCCTGGAGCAAAGGTCAGCACCTCCAAGGGCAGGGAAGGACAAGCTTCCGAGGCAGAGGAGTAGGATGTGGACCCTGTATTCCCATCGACCTTCTGAGTCTCCTTGAGTGTCTCATTCCCATGCATGAGGCGGGGAGAATCTATTTCCAATGTCTAGGTAGCAACACTTGCCAATCCAGAAACTCAAATGAGTGGCTACTTTCCTTTAAGTTAGGAATCTACCATTAGAGTTCTTCTCCTAACAGCTTGGAGCTAATGATTAATAACGAGAATAAAAATGATTAAAAGAGAAAACTGCTAATGTAATCAACAAAATACAAAATCCACAGCATCTAATCTTTTTCCAATTACTAAAGTCTAAGTAAAATAAGTACAGAATAATTGGGCAACAGTCACAGCAATAACTTGCATTTTACAGCAATCTCAGAAAATATCAAATCTTCCCCAGTACCCTAAGGATATTATGAAAAACAGGAACCTCATATCTGAACACCAATAATGTAATGTTTGCAACCATGTTCCCAGTGTCTCTCCCTCAGCATAACTCTGGTTTCTGATTACTAGTTTATGAGAGAAAAGCTGAGATGAAACTTATTTGTTAACGTTCTCTGAACCTCTCTCCTCACTGGAAGAAATTCACAAAAATACTTAAAAATCACAGGAATATACATAATGAGACAAAATCACAACTCTGCTCAAACTTTAGTGTTAAAAGAAGGCTTTCATACGTCTTGTCTCATTTGATCCTCAAAACAAGCTTGTGTTACTTGGGGCTGTGATCACTGTATACGAAATAGTCAGAGAGGTTAAGTGATGACTTGTGTAAGGTCTTTATGAGCTAAGCAACCTTCCAGCTCACCAGGAGTCTTTCCTCGTCCCTTCCCATTCTTAAAGACTTTTGCTAGCACAGACAAATCTCACTTCTGAATACAGACAAAAAGATCCAAAGTAAAACCTTAGTAGATCAAAGCACAGCAGCAGGATATTAAAAGAATAATACCGTAAAGAATGAAGGAGGAATGGTTCAACGTCGGGACATCTTGTAGCTTTACCGACACGCTGACTGGGGCTGACAGGGAAGCCACATGACCATCCCTCAGAGTGTTTGGTGCATCTTTCTAGCAGAATCCCGGCTTTGCGGAAGTAGTCACACCTCCACAGCAGCCTGTGGGTGGGGACTCCAGCTCAGAGGCAGCTGAACCCCAGGTGGGCCTGGTTGGAGCCCGCAGGCTGAGCCACACCTGCGCCCAGTAGCTGAGTCAGCAAAGGAGCTAGGCCTCGCAAGCCACCAAGCACAGACAGCTGAGAGCTTCTGAGAACCTCCGCCCGGTTCTTGGGAGAGGTTCTGGAGGCAACCCACTCCTCTTCCACTGGCTTCTGCGGTCAGGCGTGGGAGTCCGAACTGCAACCATCCGCACCCAACCAGCCTGAGAATGGCGCCAGCAGAACAGGCGCGCAGGGCGAGAGAATGGCAGGAAATAGGAGAGTTCTGAGACAGGCAAGATGGCCATCTGGGGAACATTCAAATCCATAGCCCTTCTCTGCCAGCAAAGAAAATAACATGGCATAAACTTCACAAGAACTGTACAGGCCTCAAGAGAAAACTACCAGTCTTCACTTGAACACTTACATAAATAGGGAGGAAACACAAGCTCACACAACACCAACCTGCATTTCTGACTCTTCCTCTGGGCCAGGAGGAGAGAATTACAAATGTAGAGCAACACCAAACACAGTCCCGTGCCACCACACAGACTCCTGTACTGGACAGCCTGCCTAGGCAAAGAGAAGCCCTGGGCTTCCCAGATCCGCCCTGAGAACAGAGCGCACCTGTGCTTAGAGGAAGCTCACCTGTGCTTACAGGCTTGCTGTGCCTAAGAGAGTTCTGCTGTGTAGGATTCACCTCCCATTCAAAAGCTCAAAGCTCCTTTCTAGCTACCCCTAAATTACTCAGATAGGAGCAGGGTGCCCTGAGCCATAAATGGGGAATTGTACCTTGTTAAGAAGGTCAGGAGAGTTTCCTTGAGGCAATGACCATGGGGATAAGATCTAAGAATGAGGGGAAATGAACTGAGTGAAGGGGAGGCCAGCGAAGGTAGTCAAAGCCCAGAGACAGCTAATGCAAAAGCCTGGATTGTCCTGGAAGAGACAGGGAGCCAAGAGTGGTCGTAGGAGATCACTCCAATGGACTAGCCCACGAAGCCCAGTATGAAATTTGATGATGGCAGTGAAAGTAAGCAATGACCAAAGAGATATTTAGGAGCTAAAAGCAAGAACTCAAACAGACTAAATGAAGACCATGGATCCTAAGACTCAAATTATAATGCTGTCAGGTGTCACTTTAGAAATCGTCAGTTCAATACCGACCCAATCAAAATTCCAATGGGATATACTTGTATTCTGAAACTTAAATAAGTTGACCCCTAAGTTCACCTGGAATTTGATTGGCATAAGAGCGAGCCAATAAAATTCCCAAAAAGGAAGTAATGTGAAGAAACATTAACTGATAAGAAAAAAACATATAATGAAGCTCTGGGAATTAAGACAATGTCCCCGATTCAGAGACAGACTAAGACAAAGAAATCCAAGGAATACAGAATGAATGGTTAAAATCAAGCCTATGTATTTATGGCACTTAGTTATGATAAAATAGCATTTCGTTTGGGGCGGTGGCTCGAAGCCTGTAATCCCAGCACTTTGGGAGGCCGAGAAGGTGGATCACGATCCGGGAGATGCAGACCATCCCGGCTAACCTGGTGAAACCCCGTCTTTACTAAAAATACCAAAACCTGGCCGGGCGAGGTGAGTGAGCACCTGTAGTCCCAGCTACTCGGGAGGCTGAGGCAGGAGAATGGCGTAAACCCGGGAGGCGGGCTTGCAGTAAGGCAAGACGCCACTGCACTCCAGCCTGGGAGACAGAGCAAGACTCCGTCTCAAAAAAAAAAGAAAAATAGAGGCGGGCGCGGTGGCTCAAGCCTGTAATCCCAGCACTTTTGGGAGGCCGAGACGGGCGGATCACGAGGTCAGGAGATCGAGACCATCCTGGCTAACACGGTGAAACCCCGTCTCTACTAAAAAAATACAAAAATAGCCGGGCGGGTGGCGGGCGCCTGTAGTCCCAGCTACTCGGGAGGCTGAGGCAGGAGGAGGGCGTAAACCCGGGAGGCGGAGCTTGCAGTGAGCTGAGATCCAGCCACTGCCTCCAGTCCAGGCTACAGAGCAAGACTCCGTCTCAAAAAAAAAAAAAAGAA